TGTGTTTTACACCACCATCACCCCGATGCTAAACCCACTCATCTATACTCTGAGGAATGAAGATGTAAAGAATGCCACGAAGCGACTATGGAACCTGCTTGTCTCCTTGAAGGAAAAGTAGAAGAAGGCATAGCTTGTAAAATTAGAGAGTTAGCAAAGAAATTCAATGGCTCACAATTTATCAATAATTTTAAGGCCTAGTGTCCAAAACTCAACTAGCATTTACTTTTCACTTAGTGGAGAATCATTTGAGACTATTGTGTGATGTGTTACACTTAGGCTTTCTCCTAGGAGCGTGTTTTATTCTCATTAGTGGAAAGGGACAGTAAACCCTCAATACCATATTTCAATGCTTTGGGTCCCTTCTATTCACATTAAACTCTTTTAAGTTATAATTCAATGATTTAAAATGGTCATAAAGGTGAAAGATATTCCCAAGGAATTAGAAAATCTCTTTCAGAAAGAAAAGTTTCACTTTTCAGTAGCTGCAGTCCTTTCTCCTGACTTCTTTTTATTTTCTCTCCTCTGTGCATCTTTTCCCACAACTATCACAATATATAGCAGAGGAAACCTATTTCTCTTTAGATAATCATAATACCATATGACAAGTGTACATATAGAAATATACTTTGCACACAGTGAAGAACGTTACTACAAACTGACCAACTGTCCAAAAATGAAAAAGGGGTGGGTATTATATATTTTGGTTTTACACATTTTGTATTGAGTTTTACATATTTTGAGGCTGAGTGCAATTGTCTAGAAAATCCTCTTGTAGGGTTTGAATACTCCCCCATGTTGGTACTATGATACTATTTGTCATAAGAATTTTATAGTTACTTTTTTCCAGTACATAGCCTAGATTAGTTAAAGCAAATAGAAAGAGTTGACATTTGAATTATTGAAATGACTAAGTCTAGGAGATGTAGCTCTATTGTAAATTTTTAGTTAAAGCTGTTTTCAATTTTCAAAAGAGAATGAAATAAGCAAATTTTGATTTGGGATGTTAGTAAAGCTGGAGAATAGCTGGTTGTTATTAATACTTTGTAATATATATTTTTATTCTGAGAAATTGCTTTAGATTTTGTGTCATGACTTATAGTTCTCAATAATTCTAAAATGTTTATTTTCAATCAGCATTCATTTTCTAGATGCCTAAAATAGATCCTGTATATAATTATAAAATGTATCAGATACATTTATTCTTGTTTTCATTATTATTTTTACTTTTTTTAAGAGCAGGAAAAATTTATTAAGAGAGAAAGTTTCTTCTAAGAGAGGCAGAAGAGGGACCGGAAAGTGAGTTGCTCTTGTTTTCATTTCTAAGTAATTTTTATCTCATTTCACAAAAATAAAGTTATAGATAATGCACACCTCTTATTTTTGACTCTGTATTGCACAGAAATGGATTAATGGTAGGGACTTATCACTTTGCCCATTGTCACCATAATATCTATTGTCCCATCTGTTTTTATTTTTTTCCCTCATTGAGTTTATTGGTACATTTTAGGTATACAGTACAGTTACATTCATCATTGGGCTCTTGTACCTTTGCATGACAGGTCTTGGTTCTCATTTTTTCCCCATAACCCTGCCCTCTCTTCACCCCCTCCTCCCCTCCCCATTTGCAAAAACTTTATTTCCATTTTTTCATTTACTCATATTTTTTTCCTTTCCCTTATTTCCTTTTCCCTACCCTTCCCACTTCCGCTACACCTTTAGCCCTTTTCTTCCTATTACACATTGTCAATTATACCATTAGGATCTTATTTGCAATTATAGTTTTTCATACCAGAGAAACTATTCGGTATTTACACATGTGACATATTTATTTCACTTAGGAGTATAACCTCAATATGAGTCCATTTTCCTATGAATGACTCTAATTTCTCATTCTTTATGGCTGAGTAGTATGACATTTCATAGAAAAACCACATCTTTATCCAGTCTCCAGCTGATGGGCAAATGGGCTGTTGCCAAGTTTTAGCTATTACAAACTGTGCCCTTCTGTTTTCTTAGTAGCAGAGGCCTGACTTTGTTTATGGTAGCCCTGCGAAAATATCGCATTGTGCTATCCTTCTTTGTATTTGGCTGTTGACAATATAATATTAATGGTAACTGGTGGGTGGTATTTTGGAGAACTCATCAAAACAGATTTTCTATGCATCAGCTGCTCTCCCATGTAGAATTGCTATTGACCTTTTGTTGCATTCCTGTGTCTGGTTTGCCAATTGTTCGTTTTGTCTTGTTTATAACACCTATTTTTTTGCAATGAGCAACACATTTAAATCACATTGAAATAGCTAGCTATATTATCTTCCCTTGTCTCTCTTAAGATCTCAGTATAATAATATAAATAACAATAGCGACTACTTTGTCATCTCAACCACATCCAGTAAGATGCCCATCTGCTTTGGTGACTTGAAAGACCATCACTGTGGTATAAAACTCTTCTATGTAGATTTCAATTCATTTCTGAACTTTAAATTCCATTCCACTTTTCTTTTGTAGTAATCTCCAATTGTTGATTTTGTCAGTGGCAAGATGACTGAGATCTTTAAGGTGTACAACTAGCTGCACATTCTGTGGGAGCAATTACTTCAGGTTCATTAGTGACGATTGCTGTGAGGTGTGTATGGTGGCTGCAAGGTATGATGATATCCTGGGCACAGAAAGCTTCTGGAGTCAAGGTGTTGAAGACCACACTGATTACTATATATGACTGACACAGATCTCGCTCTCTTTGTTCCTGCCTTTGCCTGACATCTAATGTGTTGATTTTTTCAGGGATCTAGGTGTGGTGAGACTGAAAACACTTGCTTGGACTTGGGCCCAGTAGGCTGGTTAAACAGATTATTACTTCAGTCTTCTTTTCAGGCTGAGAACTCATGAGCTCACAGTTTTCTCTCTGCACTGAGAACTGCCAGCCTGGGAGATGAGGTGCTGTAGGCAAAATCAAACTACCAAACTTTTTCCTGTCCCTTTGTATGTTTTTATTTGTTTGTTTTTTTGTTTTTCTCCTCACTGAATCACTTTAGCTCCTTATTTTATGATTTTTAAATTGGGCACTTTTTTCATTAAATTATTTTTGTTATTAATGTCGGTTAAATATTGTAAATTCTGTAGTTTTAAACACACAAACAGAAGGATTTTCTGTTTTTCAGACAGGATATCACTGCATAGTTCAGGCTGGCCTTGAAGTCATTATGTAGCTCAGGATGGCCTTATACTCACTGTGACCCTTCTGTCTCAGCCTCTCCTCTGCTGGGACAATTGGTGTGTGCCATAACATCCAGATTGATATTTGTTAATCAGACCACATATAACTGTTTATCCAAAGCAAAAAATGAAAGATTGTAGTTGTTAATAAAAATTGTATTTAAATGAACATTATTTATATTTTTATATAGAACATTTCTTTTTTTATGGGCTCCAGCTTTTCATAAGCATGTGCGTACTGTTGTGTTGGAAAGTTAAGAATATAAGTTCTGAAACTGGACTGCTTGGCTTTAGACTCCATCTAGACTACATAAGCTATGTGATGTGTGACAGTGCTAGACAAATTACTTGCCTTCTCTGTTTCTTTTTCCTTATCTGGAAAATGACTATGATGATAGTATGTACCTCAGAAGGCTGATGTCCAACTTGCGTCAGTTATTCCAAAAAAAGTGTTTCAAGTTATACCTGGTATAAGGTAAGTGCTGTATGTATGAACTTTTATTTATTTATTAACTTTTACTAATTGTATTGGTACGTTTAATGTATACAGCATAATGACATTCATAGTTGGAAATTTGTGCCTTTACATAATCAATCTTGGTTCTTATTTTGCCCCGTTCCCCTCCTCTCTCTTCAACCCCTCCCTCCTCCCTCCCAATTTACAAGGACTATGTTTCCATTATTTTTCGTTTTCTCATATTAGGTGTATTGTTGAGTGTGTTATATTTTGGCCTTTTCTGTTGTTCTTCATTGCTTTCTTATCACCTTTGTATTTTATTCTAAGTTTCAAACAATCTCAAGGGGATAATTTCTGAATGACTTGAGATTGCTATGTCTGATAGAATGAAATTGATAGAGCCTAATATTTGTTATGGAATACTTAACTTGTTAAAGTTGACTGTGAATCACTAAGTGAGTATGAAAGTATGGGGATGAAGATTGCATATTTAGTAAAGTGGAATTTAGTTGATCACACATTCACTTAATATTTACAGCATACTATTTATTATGATCCATTCCATTGGAAAGGAGGGAGCCTAACAAAATATTGCCATTCTTTAACTAGTCTTCTAGCTTACAATTTACAAGATTGCTTGGTAGAAGAATAATTATCAGAGCAAGCCTATTATTTTTGGCTGAGAGATGCATGCACTACGGGTAGTCTCATAGATGGGTGAGTCAAGTGTAAGTTGATTTATGGAAATGAGGATTATTTCTCACTTATTCATCAGCAGGCCTGGTGTCTTTTACAAATTTGACATGCAAAAAATTATTATGTACATGTAGAAAACACTGAATAATGCTAGAAATATACTTTAAACAAATAAGTTAGTATGTAAAGACTTCTTTGCAAGCCTACGTAAACTGTTCAAACATTTATGCAGTAGTCGATTTAGACATATATTTACTTTTCTAAAATTCCAAAATCTTTAAGTGATATAGTCTTTTGATATAGTGGAACTAGAATGCTCATCACATGTTAGAGCATATGTCATATAAAATTTATTATATCATATATCATATATTCGTCTCCACCTACGATCCAAGGAAATTAGTCATTTTCCTTACTTGGCCAGTGCAAAGCAAAATAGGGTTACTCTGTTCACTGGATGTAACACACATTACTTCAAAATTATTCTCTTGGGATTTTTATTCCTACCTGGCTTTTCCTGACCTCCAGAGGACTGATTGTCATAGTTACGATCCATGGTGCTAGTTAGCTCATTGTTACATCAGGACAGGAACTGATGTCTTCCAAAACATAGAAGGCAAAGCCCTCTGTTGTGGAAGTGGAGACAGATGTCTTCTGCCTACCATCACTTTAGTTTGCCTACACCAAGGCTGGGGGAGCAATTGGTAGGTGGAGGAATGCTGTTGTTATATTCACATAAATCATTATTTTTGAGACAATTAGCTAGTCATAATGATGGGAATAATGATGTAAAATGTTCAGAGACCATGATAAGAAGCCTAAGTCCTCCAGTACAGAAATCTTTTAACAAAAGTGGTGATATGTGTAAGCTGGACTTAGGTGGACAGACTATTTCTACTTACTTGATCCTAGAAACTAAAATATTGTAGAGTCATATTCAAATGGGATATGGAGATGATGTTTTCGTCCTCTTATACCCTCAGAATGAGTCATTCTTAGAGGTGCTCAAAAGTATTTTTTTTTATGGCTTCTTAGAGAGGACTTTCAAAATTTGAACCTTGTCACTATTGCAAGGAGGTCAGGAGCAATCCAGAAGATCCTTAGATACTTTTGGTCGATTCTTCAGGATAAGCACTGTAAATGGGGTGGTGTAAATAGGAGCTGTGATGTTCTATTTCCAAAGCACTGTTGTTGTTGTTGTTTGTTTTTTTGGATTAAACTTAGGCCCTTGTGCTTGCAAGGAGAGAGCCAGAACCACTGAGCTAAATTCCCAGAACTGATTTTGAAAGTATTGGAATTGATAGTAGTGACAACTTTGGAAGTGAACAAGAAAGACAAAAAAGAAACAATACCAAAGAGACTTTTGTTTGATAGGAAAGTGGTAGTTTAAAAAGAGAATTTCAGAGAACAAGATCAGGACAAGGGACCAATGTAGGAAAAACTAACCAAATCAGCGAAACAAGTTTGGGAAGTATTTGACATTTTTTTCAAAGTCATTCATTTATTCCTTTATTCATCTACAATCGCTTTAATTATTCAGTTATCCATTTTTCTGTCAAAATATCAACTGAAAAATTACAATCCAATTAGATAACATTTCGAATGAAGGTGTGACCAGAGTACTGCTATAGAAACCTAAATGCCATCCCTGTGAAGATTGTTAGGAAATCTTCTACAAAATTTCAGGTACTTTGGAAGGGAGGCTTTCTGAGTGTAGTGAAGGGATTTCAGCAGCCACATAGAATTGTGAGTCTGTAAAAAAGGGAGAATGAGTGCTGGTGTTTATAAGTCAGATATTCCTGTTCTCTTCTCTAAACTGTTTGGTAGACTTTTTTCTTTATTTGTGCATGTGTGTGATACACAATGAATGCAATCATCATGTGGAGTTGGTATAGATAAATACCACATCTTAGTCCTTTTTATTTCACCTTCTTCTGCCCTCCCTCTCCTCTTGCTCCATTCGTGAATACCCATCCCACCTACAAAATCCTACCTTCCTGTTTTGGGATAGCCCATTTATTTATTTTTAAGTTTTGAGACAAGGTTTCACTAAGTTGTCCCCTCCTGTCTTAGGCTCCCAGAATGCTGGAATTACAGGTATGAGCCACTATACCCCACCACTGTTAATGTTTTAATGTAATCACTTATAGTATGTTCTTTTCCTAGGTTATGTGGTCTTGAAATAGAAATAGAAATTGAAATACAAAGCTGTGCCAGAGGACACAAACACGCACACACACACACACACACACACACAGAGTGCACATCTTTCACAGAGATTTCATGTTCCTTGCCACATATAAGGATATAGTCAGAGATAGTGAAGCTTAAACAGATACTAAAGGGTAATATTTTGGAAACTATATCTTGGGATGATGATTTATCTATGGCGCTTGCATTTTGAAAGGGGAGATGATAACAATAGTAATAATAATTTATTATATATGATCGGTGTGCTAAATATTTTTCTAAGCTTTGTGTACATTCACTTACAAATCTTTACAATAGCACTTATAAAGTACTGTTATTATCCAGCATCACTGATGGGGGACATTGAGGCAGAGAGAGATGAGTTACCCAAGGTTACACAGCTAGTAATTCAGCTACAGTTAGAACTAAGGCACTAATGTTCCATATTTGTTATAATAGAAATACTCAAACAGCAAATGATCCTCAAAACTTCTCTTGTTGTGAACCCTTCTCTGGTTCTAATGTTATTTGTATACGAGAAGTCAAGATAATTATGTCTTGATATTTTCTGTTACTGATTTACTTATTATATTCAAGGTCCTGGGTCACCACCTACCTGTCTATATAATGAAGATACCTTTGTTGTTATCTCACACAATAAAATAGGTGAGCTTGATATCTTGAGAATAGAAAAAATAAATTCAAATTATTTCTTATAGATATTGTGTATATCCACGATGCCAAATTAATCCCAATTTCTCTGCATGGTCACTCACAATTCTCAATTTATCTTTCAATTTTACTGTCAATCTAATTTCATTTACAGAATTATTTTTTAAATTAATTGATTTTATAGGTACATTTAAGGTATACCATATAATGACATTCACCACTGGAAATTTATGCCTTTACATAATCCATCTGGTACTTAAATTTTCTCCATTCCCTTGTCCTCCCTTAGACCTAGACTTTTCCATCCAATTCTAGTTAAAATCCTCTGTCTCGTTAGGGAGAAACTGTTGTAGAAGACCTTTGAGTAACATTCTCAACATCCTGGAGAGTTGGTGACTGAGCTGAATAGAATCAAAATCCCTCAGTTATTGTTCAGTGCTTTTCCCAGCTGCCTTCCAATTTACAGTATGAGTCATTACTCCTTGCATGACACTCCACATTTCTTAAATTCAGTTTTTTTTTTTTTTTTTTGCTACCTGGGATCTAACTCTGGACCTTGCACTTGCGAGGCAGTCAGTGGCACCACTGAGCTACATCCCTGGCCCAGTCATTTTTAATAAGACTTTGGAAATACTTTTTACAGAGTATAATATAGATATGTGTGTTATGTGCAACATTTATAGGAGTAATAAAGATACAATAGAAGCCTTCAGTTAATGACTTTTATTTATGTGATTCCCATTTAAAAAAATATATTTGTTTTTAAATTATGTACTCTGGAATGGACCTTACTGAGATAGGATAGTCTCTGGAAATAGCACATCTCTGTATTTCTAAAAGTCCAGTATCACACTCCTGTCCTCACCTAAACTACCCCTCCGATCTTGCTCCCCTTTCTGATTCTTTCCTTTGTTCTAGCTTGCATATTCCAAAATCTGCACCATTTTCCTTGTCATGATCAGCAGGTTTGAAAGCCTAAAGTACCTTCTTTTTCCCTTAAATTCTTTTATTGGTACATTTTAGATATACAATACATTTACATTTATCATTGGGAACTTGTATCTTTATATGATGTATCTTGGTTCTTATTTTCTCACCATTTCCCTGTCCTCCCTTCCACTCCACCTTCTTTCTCTGAGGAAAGGCTTTCAATAAAACATCATTGAAGAACTCTATTTACAGATATTTTCCTGTTTACTTTATAGCAGTTTAAATCTACCTGCTGGCATGTAAGTACCCCATAACTATAGAAGAAATACAGGACTGGTATCTTTTTCATGTATAGCTTCCTTTTCCTTAATATTATAACTTTTCTTTTCTTAGTCTCTCAGTTTCAGCTTAATGTTTCTTCCTGATGCCACTGAAGTAAATACTAAAAGAATTTGTTCCAGTTATGCATTTTGTGGTGGACAAAAATGGCTAGGGTGAGTGACGGTTACTGGGGCAGATACTGGCTTGTTCATTCACCTACTTATTTAAGGAAAGATAATGGAAAATAGCTGTAAATGACAACTGATTTAAATATAAGCCTATATGAGTGTAACCCTGCTTTTCTTGAATCAGCTCATCTTTTACTACTTCAAGATCTCTGTGACAGCCTTCCTAGAATTGTCAAATTGGGATAAGTATTCTGCACATTATTACTAAGAGATTGGCTTGGTATATGGATGAACGTTCATTGTTAGCAAGGGATTTCTGCACATATTCTTGTTTTTCCCTAATGCACTGGTTCCCTTGAGGTAGGTTCACAGTTCACTCACCTACAGGGATGGCCCCAGTACTCCTAGCTGTTCTTACAGTCATCCTCTAGATATCACATCCCTGCAGATTAAGTAAAGAATGGGAACTCAGTATGTGTTGTTAGGAGAGCAAGGGACTTGCATCTAGAACTTTGAGAGGGGTTCCTGAGGAGATAAAAGATGAAGCAAAACTTCCATGACCAACCTACGCAAGCTGCTTTACAGTAATCACTAGCTTGGAATAAATAACGCTTCTGAATAGCAGCTTTGGAAAAAAATGCCCTAACTCAGTGTCCATGGGTGTTGCAGTCTCCCAAGAATTTCCCATGTACATATTTTGTTGCTCTGCATTTTATTGGTACACATTCTAATATTAGCTAAATATTCATAGTAGATTCAGTTACATTTTATTAGGGACCTGGAATGGCCTTGGATAAACCTCATTTATAAACAGAAGATATGCAGTTTTCTTTTGAAATTGTGATAATAGAGCTCAAATTCCAGATGGCTTTGGAAGTGCGAAAATAACAACAAGCATCCCACTATTAAATCTTAACACTTTTGTTTCCTAAGCAAAATATTCATTTGCTTAAATAGCTATTGCTATATTTTTAGCTTAAATCTAACAACTTGTTTTCTGCAATTTTGTCTCACTCAAATTTTATTCACATAGCATCCAGGGTGATATTGCTAAATTATGAATCTCAGTAAGCAAGTCCTTAGATTTTATGCTATAATATATTGGAAGCTATTAAGACTAAATATTCTTGCTGTGAGTGACATTTCTTGTTCTTTGGTCAACTCTTTTTTTTTTTTTTTTTTTTTTTTTTCCCTGAACGCTTTATTCTACTCTTGTTCCTCTATTCATCGCAAGGTCTTCTATGGTTCTTGGAAGATTTTCCTCTCTGTAGGGAGTTTTCTTTTACTGCTGTCCATTCCTAGCATGCTTTTCTTCTGATTTTCAGAATTAGTTGTAATGTCCGCAAATCAGAGAAACTTTTATAAAACATTCTATCAGTACACAGCACCACTACAACTTCCTCTTCATTTTACTTTTTATAATCTTCTCATATAATCTTGTGACTACGGGTAATGATTTGTTTTGCTAATTTAATACTTGTTTGTGCACTTATTAACTGTCTGCATGTCCAGAAGTTCAGTTAAGGAGATGCTCAGCCTTCTTTGTTGACTGATGATATTCTTAGCAGTTAACACACAGTAGGTACTCCCTTATTATTTCTTAAATAAATAAATGACTAATTTATAGAAGTGACACCAAGTTATGTATTTTTGCAATAGCGCTTTCAGTATCACCTCTAAATAATTTGTTTTGATATGTGTTAAATGACAAATGCCGGCTGGAGTCAGAATTGTCTATTTTATGAGGCTGTATTTATGTTAACAAAGGAAACATTTGTCTTTCAATGAGGAAGTGGCATGACTGGATGATATAGGTGTGCAAGGTGCCTGTAGTGGCTGAACATTGTTAGCTTGGGAAACGGGGCTGTGCTGGCTTCCTGACTATTGGACTAAGATGCCACAATAAAATGGCCTTTTTTTAAACTTGATGAATGTGAGTGGCAAAGGAGCTGTGCATGCTTTGCATTTCTTTCTTAAAGAATAAATGAGGCTAGTTTTTTTCTCATTGCTAGGTAAGTAGCATTAGTTTCTAAGTTTATGTTGTAGTTTGAACACTGAAACGCAAAAGGAAATATCTTTGACACTTTTCTGGTAAAATAATCCTGTTTATAGTACCTGAAGTGTGCTTGTCTTTCCAAGATGTCAACACACATTCAACTAGATTCTTCTCTTTCTAGATCAGTACTATTTTACACTTTTGGTTTTTTTTGGTACTGGGGATTGAATTTGGGTCTTTGCGCTTGCAAGGCAGGCCATCAAACTGCTGAGCTAAATCCCTAGCCCTATTTTACACTTCTTTTTTGATGGGATGAGCTCAGAACAGGACAGAGGACAAAGAGGTGACTGACAAAAATCAGAATATTGTTGTTGACCATCTAACTAAAGAAGAAAGCTTAGGGCCTAGTAAGCTGTGCAATCATTACTTTCTGGAAATCATCTTCCAGATAAACAAGTTTTTGAGAAAGATGAAAGTTTAATACTGGTGGCATTATTTTGTTTTTAAACTGAATTTAAAATTTTTCTTATCCTGATAAGAATGAATAATTAATCCACTGAGGGCCACATTGAGGAATTTATAAACATGGAGAAATTGCATGGGTAAATTGTCTCATACTACTGAGCTTTGTGAGTGTTCTTATTTTTCTGCTTCTTTTCTTGCTATGACATTTCTGGAAAACATTAGTCATTTCTTGGTGCATCTCTTTGTATTAAGTTATCTTTTCTTCATAATGCAATGGTACTATAGCATATTGAAAGTCATATGCATGTTAAAATTATGTAAAAATTGAGTCAATAGTTTTCAAGGGATAAATATTTAATTTCTTTAGTTGATAGCATATATAGTACCCATAAGTACCTGTCTCATCTGTTTACATCCGTAAAACTTTAACTTTTTAAAAATTAATTGTTTATTGGTACATTTTAGGTCCACAGTATAATGACATTCACCTTTGGGAATTTATGCCTTTACATGATGTATCTTGGTTCTTATTTTTTCCCCATTCCTCTGTCCTCCCTTCCCCTCTATTCCTCTCTATTTACAAAAACTTTGTTTCTTCTTTTTCCTTTTCTCATATTTTTTTCCTTTCCCTTGCTCCTCCCACCTCCCATTCCCCATCCCTTTTGGACCTTTTCTTTCTATTTCACATTGTCTATTATACTTTTTGATCCTCATTTACACTTTCAGTTTCTTACAACAGGGAAACTATTCAGTATTTACATGTGTGTCTTATTTATTTCACTTAATATGAAATCCATTATGCCTTAATGTGCATTCTTTTACCTATAAGTGTTTATCTCTGAGTTTTACACACACACACACACACACACACACACACACATATATATTTACATACATACATACATAACCACATCTTTATATAGTCTGTAGTTGATGGGCATTTGGAATGCTTCCAATTTTAGCTATTACAAACTGTGCTGCTGTAAACATGGGTGTGCATATGTTGCTATAGTATGATTGTTTTAATTCTTTAGGGAAGATACCTAGTAAGGGAATACCTGGGTCAAATGGGACCTCTAATCCTAGTCTCCATACTGATTTTCACAGTGTTTCCACCAGTCTACACTCCCACCAACAATGGAAAAGGGTTCCTTTTCCCCCACAGCCTGCCAGAATTTGTTATTGGTTTATTTCTTCTTCTTCTTTTTTTTTAATTGAGTTTTTTGATACAATCTAGGTATACAATACAGTTACATTCATTACTGGGATCCTGTACCTTTACATGACAGGTCTAGGTTCTAATTTTTTCCCCTATTCCTGCCCTCCCTTCACTCCCTCCTCCCCTCCCCTTTTGCAAACACTTTATTTCCATTTTTTCATTTTCTCATATTTTTTTCTTTTCCCTCATTCCCTTTCCCCTACCCTTCCCACTTTACCTACACCTTTAGCCCTTTTCTTCCTAGTTGATTTCTTAATAGCAGCTATTCTTTCTGGAGATGAAATCTCAGCATTGCTTTCATTTACATCTCTCAAAGGACCAGTGATGTTGGAATTTTTTTCATGTTTATTTGATGTTTCTACTTCTTTGTCTGAGAAATGTCTGTTCATTTCAGCTGCCCATTTTTGGATTGGGTCTGTAAAATTGGGATGTCTGATTTTTTTTAAGTTCTTTATATATTCTAGATAGTAGACTCTTGTCTGAGGAACAGATGGTGAAAACTTTTTCCCACATTGTGGGTTATTTCTTCACTCTGTTGGTGGCTTCTCTTGCCATACAGAAGCATTTTAATAAGATGAGATCGTAGTTGTTGATTCTTTGTGCTATTTCACATGCACAAACTTTTGTTTTGTTTTTTCTTTTTTCTGAGAAAAACTGATGAGAAGCAGAATTATAATATCGCATCAGGAGTATGAAGCCGACTTTCTAGTACTGGCAATAGGTTTCAAGAAGTATTTAGAGTAGTGGCTTTGAATGTACCAAAAAGAAGCATAGATACACCTAAGGATTAGGATTTGGTTGTTTGCAACACATAAAGTCCTGGGAAAATGACAATACAGTTTCATAAAAATAGGATCTTATAGTATTAACAGGCTGATGTTTGGCTTTCAGATATATGACCCACTTGATAAAGCTTCAATCTTTTTAACTTACATGGCCATTGCTCACTTGGGTTTTCAAATGTAAAATGGGGAAACCAAATGCGTCCTAATGCAGTCTCTTAATGACAGGGAACATTGGCAATTTTTGAAAGCAGTGCTATAATTCTTAAGTGTCATTTGGAATAATTAAAATTTCTTTCTTTCTCATAGCCTTTTTATGAAAATATTTTAATTGAAGAAATGGAGCCTTCAAATTACACAAGGGTGACTGAATTTGTTCTCACTGGCCTATCACAGACTCGGGAGGTGCAACTAGTCCTGTTTGCTATATTTCTGTCCTTCTATCTGGTCATTCTTCCAGGGAACATCCTTATCATTTGCACCATCAGGCTCGATCCCCATCTCACTTCTCCCATGTATTTCCTGTTGGCTAATCTGGCCTTTCTTGATATTTGGTACTCCTCCATTACAGCCCCTAAAATGCTTGTAGACTTCTTTGTGGAGAGGAAGACAATTTCCTTTGGTGGGTGCATTGCACAGCTCTTCTTTTTGCACTTTGTTGGGGCCTCAGAGATGTTCCTGCTCACAGTGATGGCCTTTGACCGCTATGCTGCTATCTGCCGCCCCCTCCACTACGCTACCATCATGAATCGTCATCTCTGCTGTATACTGGTGGCTCTCTCCTGGATAGGGGGTTTCATTCATTCCATAATACAGGTAGCTCTTATTGTTCCACTTCCTTTCTGTGGACCTAATGAGTTAGACAGTTACTTCTGTGACATCACACAAGTTGTCCGGATTGCTTGTGCCAACACCTTCCCGGAGGAGTTAGTGATGATCTTTAGCAGCGGCCTGATCTCTGTAGTGTGTTTCATTGCTCTGCTAATGTCCTATGCCTTCCTTCTAGCCATGCTTAAGAAGCATTCAGGCTCAGGTGAGAGTACCAAGAGGGCCATGTCTACCTGCTATTCCCATATCACCATAGTGGTGTTAATGTTTGGGCCATCCATCTACATATATGCTCGCCCATTTGATTCTTTTTCTCTAGACAAAGTGGTGTCTGTGTTCCACACCGTGATATTCCCTTTACTTAATCCCATCATCTACACATTACGAAACAAGGAAGTAAAGACAGCCATGAGGAAGTTGGTCAATATCATGTAAACAGAAATCAAAGACAAATTACACATTTTATATTCCTTTGGAGGATCATTGTCCTAAAGTAGAAAGCATTTGCAGTGGCAATAATGCTGCTTTTGCTTCCTATTTTTACCCACATTTATAGGCTTTCCTTATGATTTTACTCGATTAGAAAAAGCAAATACACTTAGATGGAAACAAATTTACTCATACCCACCTGAAAGATCTGGAAGATCATGATTAGAAATGGAAATATACTAATGTTCCACTAATGCACAGTTTTCCAATAATTATTCACTAAACAACTACCTTGGAGAGACTCTGGCTGTGAAGAGAATGTGTGTTAAAAATAATAAAATAAATAAGATCACAGAAACATACGTATTTTGACTATGAAGAAGCAGGCTGCACATGCATGTGACTAACTTCATGTTACCAAATTAAATGTTGTTGTCGTATGTCAGTTGGGGCCCAGTAAGAAAAAGTATTTGTTAAATCACCCTCTTCGGTTGAGAAAATAGATGATCTATTTTGTCTTTTATCTCTTCCTTTTCTAGTTCATGGAAACTGAGGATGCATTTATACAAGCTATCACAACTTGCCCTTCAGGTGGTAACCACTCAACAGTGCCAGAATTCAAGATCTCACTACTTTATCAAAACAACTATTATGCATTCAGAACAAAATGTAGTTTGGTTGCCTCCTGATGGACCCTTCTGCCAGCTAGCAGTTTGGGTAGCCAGTCTCTGCTTACAGCCTTCAGAGTGAAAGGAGGCTTGAAAGAAAGGGGCTCTGTCTAGGTGATTAGAATACACAGATACCTAGCTGTGTGATTACTTTTTAAACTATTATCTCCTTTGCACTTGTTTGTTTTCTATGCTTGCTAATTCTGCTTCTCATAATAAACAAAGTACTTGAAAGCTGAATTTGTTAACATTATAACTCAGGGCTATTGTCCATCTCTTTAGGCATGTGAAAGATACCTACCGAGAGGTATTGATTCCTATGATAGGCTAATGAATTACTTTGAAAGGATTAATTTCCTATTTCCTGACCAAGAATTCACCCAATGACTCTGTTTCCAAATCTAAAAAAGTAGACTAGCGCATTTGAGTTCATAGAATGAGTTTATTTATTTAAATTAGTTTTCGATTTCAGAACTAGGGAAGCTTTGCATGAAGGGGCAGAGCGTTTTGTATACAATGAGCTTTCATATGATATTTGATGATGTAATATGACTGCACTTTGAGGAAAATGGATTCCTATTAAGATCAGGAATGAATACATAGAAATTATGAAAATAATATTTGGATTACTATTTTCTACATGGATTTAGGCAGAACCGTGCTACATAAGGTTTATTAATTACTTTGGGAATTTTTCTTTCTGTTGACCTTCTTCCAGCCTCATTGCTACATGACTTCTTTTCCAGAAACCCAAAGGCACAGACTGGAGTTAAGATTCTTGAATTTGGAGTTTACTTCTCATCACTTGAAAATGAATAAAACAATAAATTTCTCTTTTACAATAAAAAAGGTTGCTGGCTTGTTATGGTGTTTAAACATCAGTGAATCAATCACTACTACAGAAGGCCACTTGCTGAAAACATTTAAGTTAGCAATAAAAAGGGTAAAAGGCAATATGATAAATAATTGCCTGATTACAAATATTGCTGAAGTCAGAAAATAATGTGAGCAGGAAAGTGAAGGAAGTGGCAAAATACTAAGGAGTAGTTTATAGAAGGCTTGATTGGAATTAGTCCAGGGACAATTTCACAATTCTCACCAGGGCAAAGCCTAGAGACATTTTGGTGGGGACTGGTATTGGTGTTTTGTATGCTTGAACACTGCTAAACTTCCTACAAGGAACAGGACAGTCTCCTCACCCCAGATATCTGGCCCCAAAAGTCAACAGCACCAAGTTTGTGAAACGCTTGACATAGGTAATAAGCAGGGATAAGGCAAACTACTCTAGGAAAACTAGGTATTAAACAACCACACGTGCAATCATGTCATACACAATGTTTTCTATGAAATATCTTAATACCTTTAGCTGTGAGTTAGCAAATTTGCCAGGAGAGTCCTTTACCCACATGAATTTCTTATTTCCTCTTAGGTAATTTTAAATGTCTTTTCTTCTACTTTTGAGTTTCTACTACTTATTCTTTCTTCAAAAACTCTTGAAAATTTCTAAAAGAAATAAAATCAACAATATAGAGACCAAGTAACAATATTGTTGGCTCAAGATTCCAATTGTATTTTCGATTATATTGATGTATGAAAATTTGGAACCCAAGTTCTTTATTTCTCATGACTTTCTGCTAACCTCAATATTAACAAGATGGATTTTTCTATTATATCTGATAAAAGGAAAAAGTTCGTTATTGTCTAAATAAAATTACAGTTTTCCTGTGTTATAATTTCTAAAATAACGAACATATGTTTATTAAAATTTCAAAGTATACGTTCATGTAAAGAAAAAGACAAATGTCACTGGCTATTTCCCCCCTCCCCCAGAGAGTTTTCCTTTACCAAGGTTTATATAGTTTCACCCTCTCTGCTCCACTGGAAACAGGCCAGTTGGCTTATGCACCTTGCTTAAAAATCTAATTGACTTTCACTAAGCAAATGGAAGTGAAAATGGAGCATAAGCTACCCAATTCTTCAGATAAGTGTAACCTTCATATTTTATATGTAGTAAAACTGGCATTTAAATGAAAAGGCTAAAAGTTTCAAATATGAAAAACAAAATCCAAGAATGTTGTTTTCAAGCTCTTTGGAGGAAATTGCCAGAAAACAAAATTTGGTCAACAATGTGAAGTCTAAAAAACTAGGACAAAAAGCTGGGTACAAAGTATTAAATGTACTTAACATAATTTTAGGGTTATTCAACTACCTTGCTATAAATCTAATATCAAATGTAAAGTAGGAATTTGCATGACAAAGGGGGATAAAATGCTGTGCCAATTCAGAGACAACAGAAATGCACTGTGTTTCCGTCCAGTGGCAGCTTAGATGTCTTTATTGACTCTGTCACTAAAAACAAATGCATCTGTCAAATAAATGTCTCTGGAAACTTCTTGGTAAACTCTTGAGATTAAACTCCCAAAACATACAGAATATTGAGAGACTAGAACTCAAAAGAAATTGGGAGTATAGTCTAAGAATTAAATAAACTTGGGAAACCAGAGAAATAAATGAACAGAAATCATTGTTCAGCTGTTTTTACCCTGAAGGCTTGTGTTCTTTTTTCAAGGCTAGAAATATAGTTGGTGGAGTGGAGTTATGTGGGAGACAAAGTCCATCGCTCAAGAGATTCCAAAGGATAAAATCTCTGGGTAATAAGCAAGCAGTTTTTTTAAAAATTCACCTAGCAGAGATGCAAGATAAAAAGACTTATGAACCTCTACTGCTCATTAGGATTTTTTCTTTGTATATTTAAAGTTTTACAGTTTTACTACAACATCTCTATGAGTGGATGATTGTAAGCCATGTTTCTCTTATATTTGGTTTATTTCAAGGAATACACTAATAGTTTTAAATATTTGCTTCTCATATCTATAAAACTGCTTTCACTGATACAGATTAGTAAAAAGAAAAGAATAACAAATTAGATAATTTTTATTAGCAGATTTCTTGACTTGCTGTAAAGCTACAGTGACCTTGAAAATGTGGATTGATACAGGAGGTACACAGAGATTAATAAAACCAAATAAAATGTGCAGACACAAATGATAAATTTATTTTTGGCACACACCAATGCCATTTTGTGAGAAAGAGGAATGTTAAACAAATAATGTTAGAGTCTTGAATATTTATTTGAAAAATAATGAACTTGAGCACCTACTTCATTGCCTATATGAACATTGATTTGAACTATATCATAGGCCTAACTGTAGTAGCTAGAAAAATATAAAACTTTTAGAAGAAAACAAAGAATTGGTTGCTCACAAAATAGTGATAATGATTCTTTAAGTATCATAAAAACAACTTTAAATGCAAAAGATACAATGAACCCCCCCAAAATTAAAATTTTCTAAAATCAAGATATACCACTATGAATTAATAAACAGTTCAACACACTAGAAGGGAAATCTAGCTTGTCTACAAGATGACTAACAGTCATCTTAAACCTATTGTCATTTGCCCACTACACTTTTCCACATTGGCCTCTTCCTGCTTCTCAGTGCACTAGTTCCTTCTTGCTTCATGGCCTTTTGTTATACAGAGCTCATTTGAGATGTTGCCTCCTCAGAAAGGATATCCCTTTGCAAATCACAAGAACAGTAGTTTCTTCTGGCATATCAGTATGTTTTATTTTTGTAATGGCACTCATCACATTCTGATTTTTTTCAGGTGTGTGTGTGTGTGTGTGTGTGTGTGTGTTTACTGTCTGCCCTCATGCATTGGAATGTGAAACCTCCAAGAGTAAAGACTGATTTTTGGATCTAGGATGCTACTATATAGCTTGATTCATAGTTTAACTTCTAAAATAATCTAAGATGACAAATCTTTCCCTCAAAAAATAAAAGCTTAATTCTATGGACTGACTTAGATCACTATACTAATTTCATTTTTAGGGTCAGTGTTAGTGTTGCTAAGTAAAGACTTTCCCAATTAGGTCTACATTTTTTTAAAAGATCAGCTTTTAAAAAAGTCTTTGGTGGCAAGAGAGATAATAATTCTACAATAAAATATTTCTCCATGTATCTTTAAATATTTCACTTATTTTTGATTTCTTTTACTCTAAACAAAAAGCTCCTTTATTTGTTTAGTTTATTTTGTATAATATATAGTTTTCAAGATAAACTTTTCTGTATTTCTATCTTGTTCATTTCCTATTTTGCTGTCACATTTATTTGTTCCTGTTCTTTTGTTTTCTCTTTGTATATATATATATTTTTTAATTTTATTGAGTTTATTGGTACATTTTAGGGATACAGTACAGTTACATTCATTGTTGGGATCATGTACCTTTACATGGCAAGTCTTGATTCTCATTTTTTCCCCTTACCTCTGCCCTCC